CTCCCTCTTCTCGCTATCACCGTAGGACCCTCCCCCTCCCACTTAATTCCTTCCATCTGCGGAATCGCTTTGCGGGCCGGCTCCGCCAAGGGGGGCCCGGGTTCCTGCCCCAGGAAGGACTCCCCGCCTCCTTCCCTCGCCTTCCCCCCTCCCCCTCTCCCTTCTCCTATTTCTGCTCTGCGACGGCCTTTTCCTCCGCCCAGACCCCTGGCCCCAGCCCAACCCGGTGCCTCCGCGGGCCGCCAGGACCCTAGACGGGACTGGGGGAGCTCGGGAAGACGACTGTCACCCATCTTCCAGGACGACCCAGCTACTCCAAGTATGCCTGGGGGGAACCTCCGCCCCCGTCCCCTCCTCCGCCTAACACACCCCGAAGCCCAGGGCCTTCACCCTCTCAGTCTGGGGTAGTCATCCAGCGCCTGCGCTACGCCATCGCCAGGGAACTGGAGGCAAGGCGTCTGGAGGGGACCTAGTCACCTCTCTCACCTCACCCCTGGCTCTGGAGCCATTCCGCCAGACGTTCAAGTGCCAGGTTGGCTACCTTCCAGCTCAGTGACCTCCCCATGGCGCCTAACCTCTGCGAACAAGCCTATTTTATCCTCTGTAAAATGGGGATGGTCACCGTCCTTCCTCTGGGGATGTTTATGAGCTGACCAGTTTGAGTTTGGTAAGCAGAAGACATTCCATAAAAGTCAGCTCTCCACCACCCCCTCCACGAGGATTTCTCCCACTACCTGCACAGACAGCATCTGTGGGTGCTTGGACCTGAATGACCTTCAGGAATGTGTCCCCCTTGCCCACCATGTCACCAAGAACCCCTTCGATGTTTTTGTCTCAGATCATTCGATGATGTCAAAGATTTTGTCTATCAAATGATCTGTGATTATTAATACAAATGATAGTGTGTATGTCAGGTATATTTTTAATGTATGTTTATTTTTCAGAGACCTATCCCTTTACATTTTAAATCAGTGTTCAATCTATTGGTTTAAACAGAAGGTATACATTTGTTAGAAATACATGTAATAACTCCTGGAAATATTTGGAGTCATCTCTGGGACTCCACTACTATCTTTAAGGTTCCAAGATGGGAGGAGGAGGAATAGTATTTAAACCACCGACTTAGACTTTCCCTGGACATTTTAGAGAAAACTGTTGTTCAGAGAGGGCACATCTTCCAATTGCACAAGCAGGCAATCGGGGAGCACAGAGGAGACCCTGCGGCACCCAGGCCCAGCCCAGAGCTCTCTGTCTCTGCCCCCCACTCTCCTTCTGGGTGAAGGGAGTCCTGTTACGTAGCAGTGCTGGCATTTTTCCCCAGTGTGGGTGGCACATTCACATTGCTTCACGGGCCAGGCAGGTACCACCAAGTCTAAAGCAATAAACAGGAAGCAGTGAACCTATGGAGAAGGGCTAGCTACTCAAAACCTTTCTGTCATGGTTCTCAGCCTGAAACTCTGAGTCTGTCACCTGCCCAGGGAGACATCTGCTCTGGGGTTCCCTGTCCTTCAATGATTGGCTGCTGTGAGGGTGCTTGTCATATGTGGCAACCATGCTGGTGGCCTCTGCCCATTTTCCCCCCTCCCCACCCCCACCCCTGCCCCATAGTTCCCACACAGGGCCTGCTGCATAGAAAGTAGATGATCCCCAAATGTTTGCTAGGTGGAGGGCTGGATGCAGGGTGGGAGGGGTGGCCTGATTTTGCTCCCCTTTGAAGCCTGAATGGCTCCTTTGGTTTTGCACTTTGCTTCCTCCTCTTGCCCACAGCACACCTGCCCAACACATGAGCTCTGTACCCAATGAGTAATCAATAAATGTGAACAACTGACAGGCAGTTTGCCTGAGTAGCAGCTGGTTGCCCTGAGGTCAGCCCCTCAGCCCATCCCCAAAGAGTCCCTGAAACAGCACCTCCTGTGGGATGGGAGGTGATGGGTGTGGAGGGCCAGATGGGTATCAGGGGCCTGGGTACCAGGCTCAAAAGACCCACCCAAAAAAAAAAAAAAAAAGACCCACCCAGGCCCAAACTCTGTGCCTCCCCTCACCCCCTCATGTACACATCAAGAAGCCTTGCATTTAAATGTCAGAGGTCCTAGCCTAAGCCTTCGCTTCAGAGAGGAGGATGCCCCATGGCCCAGAGAAGGAAAGCGACTTGCCCAAGCTCACCCAGGAAGCCTGATGGCTAAGCCACCTTTTCCTAATCCACTCCACATCCTCATTCCCCTCTCATTGGTCCTCATCTGGCAGTCTACTGGTGTGGCAGCTCTGGTCCCAGAAATGGAGGTAGGAGGGAATCCCAGGTGAGGCTTACTTAGGTCCCTGTCCCCTTCCCTTTCTGGTACTTAGTCTACCTCATGGTGTCCAGAATGGGACAATGGAGAAAAGATTGGATTTGGAGAACAGAGACCTGACCAAGTGGCCTTGGGCAAGTCTCTGCCATCTCTTTTTAAACCTCCATTTTCTCAATTACTGACTGAGGTGGTCAAGTGAGGATATAAACAGGAGCAGGGTGCTTTGCTAACTCTGAATAAGCCGTCATTCAAAAGGGAAGCGTGGTATTAATAATTGAAACAAGAGAAATACTCAATTTATGTGGAGTGGTGGTTGAGAGGAAAAGGGTGCGTGGAGGGGAGTGTCCGTCCCCAAAGTTCCCCAGACAACAGTCTGATAGATGTTTGGGGGAAGTTTCAAACCAAGAGCTTTGAGCTCAGAGAAGCAAGAGGAACTTTTGGAAAGAAGAGCAAGCAGAGGTCTCCATGGGGGAATCAGCCTCAGTTTGAGCTTGAAAGGCAACCAGACATGAGCAGAGGAAGAAGAGGGGTCTTCACGACCCTGTGTTAGTTGATGCTGCTTATTTCTCTAAAGCATATAGCGTGGTGACTTGCAACCCTTAGCCCTCTTGAACCTGCCCACACTCCATGCCTCAGCAATAAACAGCAAAGTGCACCCTGGGAAGGCTGAGTGTTGTCTCTCCTCTGGGCCAGGGCTAGGCATTGGGTTCCTTTGGACTGTGTGTTGACACAGAAGGTGTCAGTTTACAGCAGTGATAGCAAAATGGCAAAGACTCTCCCTGCATACGCCACTGCCCCATCCCCCCACCCAGGACAGAAATCACTGAGTGCAGAAATCTTCCCCAGACATGACTGCAGATTCCTTCTCAACACAGCACTCTGTGTCACCACGAAGGGTGGAGCTGACCTAGAAGATGGAGACTATTTGCTATTTCCTCTTCCCGTGGACACAGCGTCCTTGTTGCCAGGGCATATAACTCAGTGACTGCTAGCTCGATTTCAGCATCTTCATGCAAGGCTCTGACCGTCAAACCATGGGGGCAGCCTGACCACGCTGGGCCCCACCCACAGACTCATGACTCTTGATAAAAGAACCACAAAAGGTGAGGGGATCCATGAACCTTAAACTCAGCCACCCATTCCGTGTCAGTTCTGAGTTGTGGAAAGTGCCTGGGCGTTTGGAGACGGTCCATTTCCCAGCTGTGACTTTGGCGAATTGATTATCCTCTGCTTGACAATTTGCTCATGTGCAAAATCTTCTCCCTTACTTGAACCCTAAGACATAGGAAGGCATTGGACGCTCTGACGACCTTGGCCTCTGGAAGGCCCTCAGAGGGTGCTTGCTGGGTTTCAAGGCTAGACATGTGCATGAGCATGAGGGGCACCAGTCTGGATGTCAGAAGCCTCGGGTTCTCTCACCTACCGTTGTGCATGGCCCGGGGCAAGCTGGCCGAAGGCCCTGGACCTCTGATCCCCAGAAGTCATCGGAGCAGGCCTAATAGGCCCCTGCTCCCTGAGGAATAGCCCTCAGAAAAGTGCTGGGGCAGGGATGGGTCCTTCTTCACACAGGAGCTAGAGGAAGCCATGATTCTCCTCCACTCCTTTTGATTTCACATCAACTTTTCCTTAAAAACAAAAAACAAGCTATATACATTTTATCAATAGCCCCTTAGCAAACCTCAATCTGTGCAGATATCCCGGGCCCCCAGGGCTGGAAAAAAGATGCCTGGTCACTCAGGACCTGTGATCAAAACATGGTCCTGTCCTCTTGTAGAGTACTTGGGGGAGTGGCTCTGGACTTTCCATGTATTTGGGCTTATGAAGCATCTGTTTGGAAAATGTGAATT